GGAACCACTGCTGTCCCAGATACAGTGTGGCAATGCCCCTGAACATCCGACAGGAACCACTCCTGTCCCAGATACAGGGAGATTTTTTTTCTTTTGCCCCCCCCCCCATAAAAAAGGCACAACACTGCATGCAGATGTGTAACTGTGCCCGAGCAGAAGTGAACCTATGCTTTACTGAGGATACACAGGACAATGGGTCCATTCAAAGCCCTCGGAGCCTTGGCCATTAACTGCCATACCTCTGTGAGGGCAGGGATTGGCTGACAGGACAATGGCTATTGTTCCTGGGGTTCCCTGGTGCTTTGAAAAATAGTATGAGCCGAGAGAGGGGGAGGCAGCCTGGCCCCCGCGGAGGAGGACTGTTCGTCCCCATAGCGGTGACAGCCAGAAGAGCAGAGAAGGAACCCAGTTTGAAATAAGGGAGCCTTCCTTCTGTCACGCAGGTCACTCTGTGTCCAATCAAACAGGCCCTCAGTGCACCTCCTTTGTCTCCCCTCCCTGGATGCAGTCAGTGCCTCTGGCCAGATGCAAGTAGCCAATCAGAAGGAAACACCATGATGAGGGCGACTTCAAACCAGAATCATACCCACTTATACGTATTTTCACACACTTTGGGATTGCCGTCTATGGTGACTGATACAGCTGCTCTGCAGAATCCCACGGAACCTTCTAGAAGCGTCCTAAGAGTCATCTCTCCCTGGAATGGCCTGATTTCACTTGGTGCTGTTCTGAGCTCTGTTGTATGTCACACTTAGGAACCAGTAGGAACTACTTCTTCTCTTGCTGTTATTTTTTTGTTTAGTTCTTCTGATGTTAGCCTTTAAACGGTGTTTTATGCAGCCCTTGGTCCCATAACTGTCTTGCACTTGTTACTGGTCACTTGCTGGAAGCTCAGCCTAGCAGCTCTCGTACCAAAGCTGGTTCCCTGACAGCATTGTGGTTGGGCTGCAGGTGCAGGCTGGTTACCAGTAAATTCAGGAATTCTCCTGGTAGGCCGATCCTGTGAGGGACCATCGGTGCACAAGCCGTCGGTCTGATCTTGGCATGTTTCTAGGTTGATCGCAGGAGATGATTAATGGATAATACTTTATTTTGTAGGTGGCCAACCGTTTGGTTGTGAATATACCCTTGTGAATATACCCTCTTGCCCACCCTGGTCAGTGGCAAATTCCCGGGCGGGTTTTTGTTGCCAGTCTGCCCCTGTTGGGATGTATGATCTGCCTCACTTGGATGTCGCTTTGGATGACGACAGTAAAAGTTGTGGACCATGAGTTCGATAGTGTGAGACCCTCTGAATGTTGCACACCATGGGGTGCTGAAGATGACCACCAACATCATCCAGAACTCCGACAGAGATGACCTACAAGGGTAGCTCATGGCAGTCAACTCACAGACACCTTCTAAATACAAACAGGAGTGAGGCAGGGCTGTTTGCTGTCACCCTTCCTTCTCCTGCTGGCAGTAGACTGGGTCATATAGACGTCCACAGTGCAGAAGCAAACTGGAACACAATGGGCATCTTGGTCACATCTGGATGACCTCTGCTTTGCAGATGAACTGCTCTTCTCTCCCACACCCAAAAACAGATACTGGAAAAGACCAGCATCCTTACTAAGAATCTGCCTGGGACTTCGGGAGGAGAACAAAGTCTTCGGGGTAAACGCCGCCCTGTCACACTGGACGGTGGAGAGCTTCACCTACCTTGCCAGCGTCATTAAACAGCAAGGCAGGACGGACACTGATGTTAGGGTTAGGATCAGCAAGGCAATGGCAGCTTTCTTCAAAATAAAGTACGTATGGGTACCCAGGAACCTGTCCTTCACCATCAAGAGTAGGTTTCAGTCCTACTTTACAGAGCAGGAAATGTTGGACCATCGTTACCACCACCAAGAAGATCCAGACTTTCATCAACACATCTGAGAAAGATCTTCTGGATCCCAAATGAGTCAACCTGGGGGAAACTGGCGAGACTCACTCAGAACCAAGGTGCCTAAAGAGTTCTTGTCAGCGGCCTAAACCCCAGAAGGGGTGTTAGGTGGGGGGGGGGTCACTCTCCTGGACAGGAGACACAGGCACCCTGGAAGAGATGCTT